ACCAAATAAGCAAATCAGTTCCACCTCAGTCGACAGAAAAGAGTTGCTGGACGGAAGAAGAAGTTGAAATCAAGCCAAGCCCGAGATCAGAATTCGACCAAACCAGATCGAAGTGAAGAAATACAACTCAAGCCGAAGAGAAGAATCAGCTGCGAACGACTGATAGAGATTAGCCCCAGTGTCGAACTAAACCACACTCCGACATACACAATTCTAAAGAGTAGACAACTCTAAATCTTTAAGTTGTATGATAGAAGCTTGGTGCCATAGTCCACAAAGCGGGTCGGGAAATAAGAACAATTTTTATGTAACGGACATTAGATATAAAAGGTTGTTACCCTTTTTTATCAGTAATTTTTTGTCTCGTGAGTTTTTTCTTTTACTTGTGTTTTGCCACCCCCGTCGGACTCAACTTGCATACGGCCCAATCCCTGCTGGTCCCGTCTGTCTAAGATCTAAACACAACGTGGGTAGACAGACCGGAGATCAGTACAGTTGCTTTAGCAACCAGGTATTGGAAGCGGGTTGGGAAAGGCGAGGCTGGTGATCATCTAACCAAGGGGTTGGAACGGCACCAGGAGGAACAGCGAAGAGCGACCAGGAGGAGCGACGTCACATTGGGATTAATAATGAAGTGGTTTCCACGGTGGTTTATGGACATCACTAGTTACCTGGCCGTTGACTCATCGAGAGTCCTTCCGTCCTTTGTTAGGTCTTATTTTACGTCCTACTGAGTTGTTAACAACCCGCCTCACTTGCAAGAACATGAAGTGGGGTAGCCGGTATAGTTACCGACATTCCGACATTAGGATACTTGCCTCGTATATATATATATATATATATATATATATATATATATATATATATATATATATTGAACAATAAAAACTATTAAAGAATTAAAATCTTCAGACACACTGGGTTATATGTTAATATTTTTTTTTTTATTATTATTTAAGTTAGATTCCTCGATTAGTTTCGGCCAACATGGCCATCATCAGGAGAAAAAAAAATCTGCTTGCTAGTAGCAGTAAACTACAGAAATGAATGTCTTGATGGAGAAAAAATGAACTTTTGACTGTAGTTTTCATTTGTTTTTTTTTAATTTTTTTAACATGAATTTTGGTCAGTCCTTGTGTTGGTCAAACAGTCTCTTTTGAGTTGTTATTTAAGATAAGAGCTGGGTGGATTCGTGCTGGTCTTTTGACAGTTTTATTGGGTGGGTGTGTGCGTCCCCAAACAGACATGAATACATACCAGTGCGCCGGGGAGTGAAAAAAATCTATCCCCCACACACACACACACACCATCAGTTTGCGAGGAAATGGTTTTGTGGATCGGTGTTAATAACGTGGGAGAAGAGAATAAAATAATTATTAAGTTTTAACCCATTATTAAAACAACTAAGGAAGAAAAAATGGAAAATTTGGAGAGAATGTACAAAAGAGGAAACTTACTTAACACCAGGAAGAGGCAGCTGAAATTTCTGGGACACGTAATAAGAAAGGAGGGTTTGGAAAATCTGATACTCACAGGACGGATAGTGAGAAAGAGGGACAGGGGAAGTAATACGCCATATACTCAATGGGTTTGAGCAAGTGGATGGCGAAATAACAAAAAGACACAACTTATTAATAGCTACAAGGGACAGGAAGAAGTGGAAGGACACGATAGCCTAAGTTCTGAAAGGACACAGCACATAAGAGAAGTTATTCTCATTAGCAAATTCTAACAGCTTATGGATAGCTGTTCGTAAACGTGTTTTCTATTTCTTTCAAGAAAAAGAAATAATAGACTTCTTTCATTGTTAAAATGAAAAGAAACGCTGAGAAAAGAAACATAAAACATGAGTGAATCGAATTCTGTAATTTAAACGAGAAGAAACGAAAACACTTTAGTGCTCCCAGTCGAAGCAACAAAGAATGAAGTCATCTTTGAAAAAAAAATGAAAACAAACAAAATACCCAGACTAGCTTGCAGCAGTAAAATAATAATAAACCGAGCCTAAAAAAAATTCTACAAGAGTTCTGCTAATTTCATAACACGCCAGCACAGAAAGTCAATATGGTGACTAAAAAACATTTTTTGTAATGACATGAATATCAATTTAGTCTCTGCCACTAACAGTCAATGAATATTACCATTTTGGTTTCAACTTAGTTTTTATTTGTTTTGAGAGAATAAACTTGCTGTTATCTACTTTGAGAGGCTGACGTTTTTAAAGCTTCTTAAAATAAATATGGCAACTGAGCAAGTGATCTCAAATAAATTATTTATTCATGAACGCAGTAAATGCTATTATCGTTAGGTGTTGTATTAATATTTATCTGATGACTGCAATAAATTCCTGGCTGTGTTGTTGATCAGAAGGACATGTTTATTATTCCATCTATGATAAACGTCAACAAACTTCTTTCTTAAAAGTACAACAAAACTTTAAAAGTGGAACGATATCAATTATTTGCCCTTGGAACACAGAAAACGGTTATCTCTCTCAGGCAGACATTTCTTTTCGATCAGGACCCTGTGAGAACATTGTTATTATTATAAATGGAAATAAAATATAAAATAATAATAATAATAATGAAAATTGTAAATAAAATAAAATTTAAACCTCATTTAAAATAAATTAAATAAATAAAAATAATAAAATTACTTCCATCATGCAACAAGGACTGTTCCTACCGAAAATACGGACATCTCGCCAAGAAAGATGAAATTCAGTCTCTTTGCACAAAGGATTGTCATCATAACAATACGTGTAGAATCGTCCATATTTCATACTCACCTCCGAGATAAAATATACTCTTCCATCAGAATCAGTTTTAACCAACCAACACCTCGCATTGCAAATCTCGACTTTCTATTGGTCGAGACATGTAACAATTGTCGAAAAACTGTTTTCGCGCCCAGTTCGCTGGAGCCTATTTTGGTTTCCAGAAACAAATAAAAAGGACCATCTCGACCCAATTCACCAGTCAGTCAATAAACTTCAGAGAGATGCCACACAAATCCACGCGTGTCACTACTTTGACTTAAGATACTTTTCGCGCGTCAACTGCTGACTCAAACATCAACATAATCTCTCACATCTCACTTACAACTTTCTAAGAAAAGTGTTCTTACACACTACTAAAATAGAAATTGTATTTTAAACAAAGACAAACACAGAACAATCCAAGGTAAACAACTCTGGAGAATTTAAACAATTAAACCCTACTTTATTCACAATACAAACTACTACTTTATTCACACATACAAACTACAAAAATTTCTGTATAAATAATATTTTCCATTTTACTCTGTTTGACCAGTTCTTAAACACTTGAACAATTTTGAACTGTAAATCAATAAGAAACCCAATTTATTAATGGTCAATTTCTTGCATTATCAAACTACAAATTTTCAAATTGTATATTAATTGTACATAAATGCATGTTGTTTTATTGAAATCTCATAATCGGTGTTTTTTACTCAATTGCCTTGTGATTGATTCGTTTTTGAATGTCTATATTCTATATTGTTGTGGATTAATGTGGTGAATATGCCCGTAAACTAACCATCTTAATATAAAAACCTTCTGATAACAAATTCAAACTCATAGCAATCCCAACATAATTGGCAACCCCGACGTTTATAACAACAAAAGATTGGTGACCACAACGTTTCCAACCAAAAAAAATGGTGATACCAACGTTTATAACAACAACAAAAAATTGATTACTCCGACGTTCAAGTTAACAGCAACTACAAAAGTGATCATTTCGACGTTCAAGTTAACAACGACCAACAAAATTGGTAACGCCGACGTTTTATAACAAATTGATTACCAAAAACCTCAGTCGACATGACAGAACCGATACCACCAACTGAAGCTGCAAAGATTAGAACTCTCTACCTACAACGGAAATGCAAAGACTTGGTTCATCCAGCTCGACGCGATTTTTTCAAGCCAGACACATAACGTCCCAACAATCGAAATTCGCATTCGGGGTAGAGAAGCCCGCGGAGGTAGCTGCTGAGGTAGCGGATATTCTTACCAGTCTCCCGCCCGAAAAGCCTTAAGGTGCTCAGGCAGACTATTTTGCAACGAACGGGACGTTCTGAGGAAAAGATCAAAGATCTTCTTACTAATATTACGCTCGGAAACAGCAAACCATCCCAACTTTTGCGAAAAAAATGATAACGCTGCTCGGCGACAACACTATATCCGAGACAGTGTTGAAACAAATGTGGCTGGAGAAATTGCAGCCTGACATAGTACAGATGTTAGCCGTCTTGACAGAGGGGGTTGATGTCCGCAAGCTAGCATCGATCGCTGATAAAATAATGGACACAAAACCAACTCGCCAAATTTCCTCTGTCGTGCCATCAGATGACCCGATTCCTGATGTTAACCAGCAAACTCCAATTCTTGACCACAGAGCTAAGGAAGCTTTCCTTAGGTTTCGACAATATCCAAAGTATACCCAGAAGGAGTCGCAGTAATTTAACTATCCCGGCACAACGCTAACCAACGACGATCAAAGACAACCTCGTCACCGCCAGAAAGGCTATTGCTGGTACCATGAAGTGTTTGGCACCCGGGCTAAGAAATGTCGGTCACCATGTGCTTATCAAAGCGCGGGGAACGGGCCAACCTGGCACCCATTGAAGGCGTTGGCTGCCAGGGCGGATAATGGAAATCGCCTGTTCTACGTATTCGACAGTAACAGCAAGTTAAAATTTCTAGTCGACACAGGAGCTCAGATCAGCGTTATACCGCTGAGCTATTGTAACAAGTTATCAACGATACCCAAACAAACTCTCCTAAAATTACAGGCTGCGAACGGCACATCTATAAACACGTATGGCGAGCGTGTTATGTCTCTAAGCATCGGCCTACGGAGAGAATTCACATGGACCTTCACGATAGCCGATATCGAGATACCCATTTTAGGGCAGATTTCCTTGCACACTTCGATTTGTCTGTTGAATTATCGTCTCATACATTTACTGATATGCGCACGGATATACAACGACGCGGAGTATTATCAAGACTTTCCACAGTTGGACTAAATGCAAGTATACCTAGTGCAAACGGTTGCGAAGACCTGTTTAAGCAGTACAAGTCTCTCTTATCACCTTTCACGCATGCGGAACCCGTGAAACACAATAAAACACATGCAATCAAAACAACCGGATCCCCAGTCCACGCGTCACCCCGTCGTTTACACCCAACTAAACTCCGGGTGGCTAAGGATGAGTTTGAGAATATGCTCAAGCTGGGAATAATAAGACCATCTTCTAGTCCTTATGCCACACCGTTACATATGGTCCCCAAGAACGATGCTGATAGTTGGCGACCGTGTGGAGACTACAGACTTCTAAACGCTCAGACCGTGCCAGACAAGTATCCAATCCCCCATATCAAGGACTTTGCTTTATCTCTGGAAGGCGCTACTGTCTTCACCAAGCTAGACCTGAGAAAAGCCTTTTATCAGATACCTATCGAACCGTCTGATATCCATAAGACAGCGATAACGACACCATTCGGTTTATACGAATTTATCCGAATGCATCTCGGACTCCGTAATGCAGCGCAATCTTTCCAGCGTCTCATAGATGAGGTCCGTTGTGGTCTGCCGTATGCTTATGAGTACATTGATGACGTACTAATAGCATGCAAAACGCCCGAAGAAAATCGCGACTATCTTCAATCAGTGTTTAAAAGATTACAACATTACGACGTTCAATTTTAACGTCGATAAATGCTTATTCGCCGTCCCCAAATTAACTTTCCTTGGTCACGTCATTGATGAGAATGGGTTAACTCCCTTAGACGAAAAGGTCAAGGCTATCAAAGATTTCCCACCATCATCCACCTTACGACAGCTATGACGATTTTTAGGGATGGTTTATTATTATCGACAGTTTATTAACAACTGCGCTATCATACTCCTCCCACTAACAAATCTTCTATCCAAGCACAAGCGGAAGAACCCGAAAAATTACATTATCTGTGGACGAGCTAGATTCTTTTCATCGTGCTAAGTAAGCGCTGCAGGACTGTACAAAACTCTCGTATGTCACATCTTCGCCCGACGCAAAGCTGACACTAACCACTGATGCGTTGTCATATACAGTCGGTGCAGTGCTACACCAAGTCGTTAACGGTGTGGAAAAACGTTACCGTTTTTCTCTGTCAAACTTAATACGGTCCAACGGAAATATAGTACCTTCTCCCGTGAACTGTTGGCGATTTATTTAGCCATCAGACATTACCGGTATATTTTTGGAAGAACGTGACTTTTCCATCTTTACTGACCATAAACCACTAATGTACGCCCTGCACACCATGTCTGATAAACACAGTCCACGAGATATTCGTTACACGGACTATATATCACAATTTTCATCTGACATTCGCTACATTAGTGGAACCAGCAACACTGTTGCACTTTCTCGAACAACACTTAGTGCAATTCAAAACACAACACTTAATTTTAACAACTTAGCAGACGAACAGATGAAAGATAAAACCTTACAAGCCGTCCGATCGGATACTTCTTTAAATATTGAGAAACGATCGCTCCCATTTACGAGCAGATCGGTCAACTGCGATACCAGTACGGGTAACCCGCGTCCATATATACCACCGTCTATGTGCCGTCTCATTTTTGATCATTTCCACTCGCAAGCACATCCAGGAGGCAAGGCAACGTTGCGGACCATATCAGACAGATTTATCTGGCCTGGTATGGCAGCTGACATTAAACAGTGGTCCCGCACGTGTCTACGTTGCCAAGCCACCAAAGTTACCAGACATACAAGAGCACCTGCATCAACATTTGCCAACCCTGGCGGACGTTTCACACACCTGCATGCGGATTTAGTGGGTCCACTCGAACGTGTGAATGGATTTGAGTACATTTTAACAATAATTGATCGCTTTACGCGATGGCCAGTTGCTATTCCCTTGGAATCGGTTACAGCTGAATCAGTGGCTAATGCTATTTTCAATCATTGGATTACAATTTTCAGATGCCCTTCGGTAATCACTACCGATAGAGGTCCATAGTTTCAATCGGCACTTTTTGCTGAATTCACTAATCTACTAGGAATTAAGCACATTTCCACTACAGCGTATCACCCTTGTTCTAATGGCCTTGTAGAGAGATTTCACCGACAGCTTAAATATGCAATTACTGCTTCAACCAACGGCCAAACTTGGGTTGATAAACTTCCCTGATTATGCTGGCTTTAAGAAATACTGTCAAGCAGGACTTGAACTGTACCAATGCTGAATTGGTTTTTGGAACTTCCCTAACCTTGCCAGGACAGATTTTCGGCCCTGTATCAGATAACCTACCTACTAGCAAGTTTGTCAGTGACCTTCGGCAAAAAATGTCTGAAACGATTTATACGCCGACCAGAGCTTACCATAAGCCATATTATGTTCCAGCTGATCTACATCGAGCCAATTTCGTTTTTCTCCGCAGAGATATGGTTCGCAAACCGCTAACCCCTAATTACACAAGACCGAAAAATTATTTCTTGTGCGTCGAAGTACTTTAATTAGATCTAGCCGGAAAACATACTACGGTCAGTATCGACCGATTGAAACCAACTTTACATCAGTGATGACGATAGATCTTTGACTACTCAACAATCACCTGTTTCAGAACCCTCACACGTATATCCATCCTCAACACCTGAAACACAAACCAACCTACCTACACGGAATACGACCGGCAGGCGTGTTCATTGGCCTGCGAAATTCACAACATTCTATACATATTAATGTCCATACTACGTTCAGCGTTAATCTCGAGTGGGTATTTATAGAATCGTCCATATTTCATACTCACCTCCGAAATAAAATATACTCTTCCATCAGAATCAGTTTTAGCCAACCAACACCTCGCATTGCAAATCTCGACTTTCTATTGGTCGAGACATGTAACAATTGTCGAAAAACTGTTTTCGCGCCCAATTCGATGGAGCCTGTTTTGGTTTCCAGAAACAAATAAAAAGGATCATCTCGACCCAATTCACCAGTCAGTCAATAAACTTCAGAGAGATGCCACACTAATCCACGCGTGTCACTACTTTGACTTAAGATACTTTTCGCGCGTCAACTGCTGACTCAAACATCAACATAATCTCCTCTCACATCTCACTTACAACTTTCTAAGAAAAGTGTTCTTACACACTACTAAAATAGATGTTGTATTTTAAACAAAGACAAACACAGAACAATCCAAGGTAAACAACTCTGGAGAATTTAAACAATTAAACCCTACTTTATACACAAATACAAACTCCTACTTTATTCACGCATGCAAACTACACAAATTTCTGTATAAATAATATTTTCCACTTTAATTCTGTTTGACCAGTTCTTAAACACTTGAACAAATTTGAACTGTAAATCAATAAGAAACACAATTTACCAATGGTCAATTTCTTGCATTATCAAACTACAAGTTTTCAAATTGTATATTAATTGTACATAAATGCATGTTGTTTTATTGAAATCTCATAATCGATGTTTCTTACTCAATTGCCTTGTGATTGATTCGTTTTTGAATGTCTATATTCTATATTATTGTGGATTGATATGGTGAACATGCCCGTAAACTAACCATCTTAATATAAAACCTTCTGATATTCAAACTCATAGCAATCCCAACAAT